AACGCTCTCCACCAACGACGACGACATACCTCTCCAACAACGTGTAGGATTTCTTTACCTTTGGCTCTCTCTGCTTTTCGTTCCAAAGCCAACGACATATTCTTCCTCTCTTTCTTACTTTCTTTTATGCTTCTTCTCAATGAAGTTCAACAACAAAACTCACAATTTATTTTCACTCAATTTGTGTTCCATTGAGAGCAGATCCACCTCAACTATTTTCAAAGATCTTCAAAAATTTTGGGCTGAATTATTTCAGTTTGAAATTCGAGGTTTAAATAGAATTAGGTTCTTTTGTTCGATTTCTTAAATTTAGGAGATATGGTGAAGTTGATGAAGTGGCAGCCACAAGTACGAAATCTAATGATTTTGGAGTGGTGGGTTTAGATGAGGTGGTTTTGTGAAAAAAAAAGGGTTAGAAAAACAGGAAAAAAAAGAGAATTTGTAGTAGGTGTCCCTATTTGTCACTTGCTTTTGAAAAACGGCCATAGGGTTTTTGTTAATAAAAAATGTCCATTTCGATTTTTCCAACTATTTTACAGGTTTGATTTTGACCATCTTATCCTTTCTATTTAGTTATTAGTTTCAAAATCAAAATAATACTTTTCCTCCTACATTCTCAAATTTGTTTCTCGTTATATTATCTCTATTTTCCTACATTTTATCTGGGAAATTGATTCATATGACCCTCTCAAGTTTCCAATGTGCTCAAATAACCCACCCCTCAAAAATTATTTTGAATGACCCAAATCATTTTTTTCAGAATTGTCAGTGGAAGTAAATGTACCCAACTACCCCTCAATTGAAGCGTCAATTCTCGGGCTGAAACGCGATTTTCCCGACCGAAAGTGTGAACATGATAATGTAATGCAATGAATTTTCTGGTGAAATCGCATTTTTCCCGCCCGGAAACTGGCTAAAAATGCTAATTTTGGGTTGTTTATGGGTGAGAATTGGCGAGAAATTAGGTTGACTTACAATGAATTTCCTGTCGTTAACTACTATTATTTCGCCCAAAAATTTAAGGTTTTCCAATTAATTCAAACAACCAACTCTCATCTGTGCACTTCAGCAAACCAGTCTTCTTCATCTGTGCACTYGGTACTCAGCTTTGCAGATAACAAAAAGAATATTGTATATTGAAAGTAACTCTTCCATCTGACCACGCAGTTTGTTTGTAGCTGAGTAAGATTTCTACACGAACGAGGTAGGTAAAATGTCCTTTACAAAGAATGATCATTTTTCGTCTTTTTCATCTCTGAAGTCGCATATTTATATGTCTTCCCTTTTGTTTTTTTTTTGTTTATTTAGAAACGTTTCAGTGCTTTTTTGTGGTTTTTATTCTTCCTTTAAGAACCACACGTTTGAGACATGTACTGTTTGTATTTTTCCATGATTCTTGGGCGAAGTTAGAGTTATTCACGGCCGAAAATGACCATATAATATGAGTTTCGGGTGAGAATCATATTGTATACAGGGCATCAATTCTCGCCTGAAAAACAATAACTTCCGCTCGAGAATTTCGAAAATTTAGAATTTTGAATGCTTCTCTTTTCCCATGCAGGATGCCTTGCCTATTTGTTAGCTATGATGGTAGTTGGAATGAGTCACAATTTATATATGAAGGTGGAATTATGGGGGGTTTGTATGTGGATGACTGTATAACTTATGAGAAGCTCCTTAATGCTATKTTCAGCCTTACTCGAATAGATCTGAACCGGTTCAAAATCTTAATACACTGTGTATATAAGTTCAATCTGCAGTACCAGGTTCCAAATTATTAAATCTTTGATGACCATAGCCTTAGCTTTTTTTTAAAAGGCCCTCCACATCCCTCCGAAGTCCCATTGTATGTATCTGTCATATCGAAAGAAATACGTGGTAGTGGAAGTAGTTCATTGAATCGTAATATTCCAGAAGCAGAAGCATTCCAATCATTTTCCCACCAGTTAGGGTAGACCACGTTCTGTATTATGCGTCATCGCTTCCTTTTGATTCCACGCTCTGAGGCCCATCATGTTATATCTCATCAATGACGTCGCTGACGGATAATGTAGTCTCGTGTAACTTGGGTGACGATGAAACAAACTATTGCGGTCAATGAGACGATAACGATGAGAACGACGTGGACTACGAGTACGAGGCCGATGATGTTGATTTCGACAACGAGGAAGAAGTAGACCCAGTGGATGTAGTCGATCCATCATTGGACACCTCGACCGAAGTGCATGTGGCAGTACGAATGCACCGTCCGCAACCGGTCAAGCTTCTTGCTCAAAGGAAATTATTAGGACAGGTGATGAAGTTTGTTCGTCAACGGAGGACATTGTGGTAGGGAGTACTTTTCGATCGAAAGAAGATTTGCAGTTCAAACTCTCGGTGTACGCAATGAAGATGAATTTTGAATATCRCGTCAAGGAGTCGACAAGAAGTTTGTACACTATCGGATGCACTAAGGATGGGTGCAAATGGAGCTTACGTGCAAGGAAAATTAAAGGTTCAGATACTTTTCTTATCTCTACATTCTATGAGGTGCACAGTTGCACTCATGAGGTAATGAAACATGACCACCAGCAAGCTCAAAGTCGTGTGGTGGGTCAGATTATAAAGTCCACCTTTGAGGATGTAAGTTGTCGTATACAGCGAAGGATATTGTTAATGACATGCGAAAAAATTACGACGTTAACATTCGATATGAAAAGGCGTGGCGTGCGAAAGAGAGAGCTTTGGAACTACTAATGAGATCGCCGAAGAAGTCGTACACTCTTTTGCATAAGTACAGTGAGGCATTGAAATCAATGAACCCGGACACAGTATTTTCATTGAAGTTTGAGGATGATAAATATTTCCAATATGCGTTCATGGCCCTAGGCTACTCTATCCGAGGGTTTAGAAGTTGCGTTCGCACCGTACTTGTCATCAACGGTGCACATCTTAAGGGAAAAATAAAGGTATCATATTGATAGCTTCCTCTATTGATGGTAATAATCAGATATATCCACTTGCATTTGGAATCGTAGATAGGGAAACAAACAAGTTATGGACTTGGTTATTGGAGCGGGTGAAAAGTTGTATTAGAGACGTTGAAGGATTGGTGTTCGTGTCTGACCGGCAGCGAACCATTAATAACTCTGTAACTTCTGTCTTCCCCACTGTTGAACTCGTCAGTTGCATGCATCACGTGCAAATGAACTTGAATAATGAGTTCAAGATTAGGAGCGAATGTGTGGAATGGCTATACCTCCTAACAGCTAAGGCATTCAAGAAGTCTACCTTCAGGTATTATTGGAATCAGCTTGCGGGATTCCCAGAAGTGCAAAAGTACTTGGAGGCATTAGGGTTCGATAAATGGTCACGTGCATATCAACCTGGGTTGAGGTACAATCAGATGACAACTAACATTGCAGAGTCCATGAATGCAGTTCTAGTGCACGCACGATATTTGTCTGTCACTGCACTATTAGAACATTGTAAGGCTCTTCTGCAACGATGGTTTTACGAGCGGCGGACGTATGCATCGACCAGAGCATCCATTCTTACTGATTATGCTAAGAGGATTGTTAAGGGTGCAGTGGAGTAGGCCCGACGACATACGATTAGACCGATTGATAATTATAAGTACGAGGTACACAATGATAGCAGCAAAGTGCGTGTCAACCTAAACAGTAAGAGGGTTATCTTGACGTAGGTCTGCTTCTGACCTAGATAACCTTAAGTTAAATGGAATCTCTATCGTCCTGCTTCTGCTTTGTACGTGTAAGCAGTTTGACTACTACCAGATCTCGTGCTCCCACGCTGTCGTTGCCGCCATGCATCGTAATGTTAGTATATACACGCTGTGTTTGCCCATGTATAAATTAGAAACGCTTCTTAACGCGTACGCCGAACCAATCTACCCATTGGGTGATAAGGAAGACTGGCCTTTACCCGACAACTTTGTTGAGTACACCATCGAGCCTCCAAAGTTCGTTGCGAGAGTTGGAAGACGACAAACAGTATGGATACCTTCAGCAGGCGAGCCTCAACAGATACATAAATGCAGCAAGTGTGGAATGCAAGGTCACAATAGGAAAACTTGCCGCAAACCATTATGAACAATCGAGTCTTAGTTTGATGTATGACTTACTTATATCCACATATTTTCTTTCTTGTGTACTGGAAACTGATCATCATATATTTGGGCGAAATGTTGATAAAATTTTGCCTTACTTAAACGATTTCGAGAGGCCATGAATGTAGTTCTTCGGGGGGATGTTGATATTCTTGCCCGTGAAATACTTCAGAGAACAGCTTCTAAGTCGATGAAAAAATTTTCGGGTGAAATGGTCATATTCTCGCCCGAGAAATATTTCAATGACTTCAATTGCACTTACTGAAATATTTCAGTGATTTCCATACTTGGTTGTTTTTGGGTGGAATATGAATAGTCGATGTTGTATTGTTGGATTGCAAAATTGGCTTGCACAATTAGTTCGTTTTATGTATCAAATTGTCTTTTTAACACACTTGTCTTATACGAAGCAAGATAAGTAGTTTGTAAGAATTAGGTAATAAAATGATGTCATAGTACTAATAAGTGAATTGGATTCAAAATATAGATCGGTTTGTCCACATTTCTATGGCTAATTTCTCCGTAAAGAAACTAATGTTGTCCTGAGTTAAGCTGGCCATATTTGACCCTGTTACATCATACTCAAAGTATTTAATGCAAAACATCCCGCAATCATCGGACCCGCTTTGCTGGGGCGTGGACGTTACCTGACGACCGCGCCATGGTTATTCGGTAGTGTCGGCCTCAGTACCTGAACACCGGCCCTATGTATCAAAACTGGTAGGACAACGGCCATCAGCCTCAACTCGGACTACAGAGCTAGAAAGGGTGTCATCAACCTCATCGAATCCCATACGATGATTTCACCCTCCTGCAAATTGATGTGTAGCATAATCCAATGGTTCCCACGGATGTTATATGGTAGGTAAACAACATCCATATCAAGCCATCGTGTCTGATAATCGGTGTGCATCCTGCCCATGTAGCTCATGATGGTCTTACACTTGCCAGCCCAATCGTATTCCGCTGCAACTCTCGCAAGTACTGCGTTCGGGGCCGTCATGCGTTGATATAGTCCATCTGTTCGTCGAAAAAAGTTCTACAACGAATAAAAAATTTTGGTTAGCACATGAATTTGTACGTACGATCAGAGTATGAGATATATATATATATATATTACGTACCGCAAAGACGATGTCACCGGTGGTGAATCTTTGACAACACAAGTCCTGTCGTTGCTCGAGTTTATTCCACGTGAACATGAACAACGAATCAATCACCTATATAAGTTACTGTTGTTAGAAAAAAAAATAAATAACAGTACAACACATATTTAGGGTTTCGAACCCGTACCTCACTCGTCATCCACTGATAAGGTCACAGAACCATGTCTTTCCCCGATCACTGTAACATGATTTGCGAGTGGCGCGGTCGGTGTTAGGGTTCGCCATCCAAGCATGAAACTTTTAGACTTGTTCAGGGGGACGTGGATTAGTGGGTCATATCACATTACTTTATTTCGCTTCCCGTCGACCATGACATTGAACGACCCCCGAAGCTTCCATGGGAGCTTCCTCTTCCGAGACCCCCGCCAAGGTTTCTGGCGTTCAACGAGCTGCGACAGCACACATACCTCATCCAGGTTCGGATCTGACGTCGATTTATGCTTAGCATTCAGAGATTTTGCTTCTCCCGGCCCTTTCGCATTAGAGTTCGTGAAATCCTCGACGTATTCGTCCTGGATAAATTATGTTAGCAGATAAAATCTTATGTTTAGAGGTAAAAAGTCAAAAATAAATACCTCGTCATCCATAGATGACTCTAATGGATGCGAATCAATCATAATATGGTCCACCGGTCTGCTCTAAATAGGAGCCTCCTCGAGAGGGGCAGCCTCTCAACGTGTATGTAGACCGGTCTCCACACGCTCTTTTCGCATGTCCTCTGTATCCATGTCTTCCTTGTGCGACAAGGCAGGTGGATGCTTTTGAAACAGGGCACAGTAACCTTCGTCAGACCATGGTTACGATCGAATTTGAACTTATGGATTACGAATACATACCTCGCGTTCTGGTTCAGCCTGCCGTTTGGTCGGACGTCCGGTGCACGTTCACATTGGGGATCGATAATCATGTCATCTGTGCCGTCTCCGTCCTTATGAGATGGTGTAGAATCATCACCACCCTTAGGACCATCACCTCGACCACAATCGGTGTCAGTGGGTTCACCACTAGGTTCGCTAGTGGGTCCTTCGCTAGGTCCGCCACTGAGTGCATCACTCGAACCATCTCCTGGCCTAGTACCATCACGGCTGCTGCCTTTTCTCATGTCATTCGGGTCGACAGGTAAACTCTATACAATGGAGGATAAGTTAGTTCTCACTATATGAAAACGGCATCGTAGTTATTATAAGTGAAGACTGTTATTACCTTCGTGATTCTTCGCAAGAACTTTCGGATGGATTTTACTTCAATCTTAATACCTCCAAACCCATCGTCCATGCGTTTGTCCATGCGCTTCAAAAGTTTCTCAACTTTCCGCAGACGCACACTGGACATGCGTACCTTCTTACCACGTCCATTCTCCTCCTTCTCCTTACCTCTACATGAACGTCTTCTCTAACACCTTCGTCGATGTTCGCTCCTTGTCCCCCGTCATCCTTCTCTGGTCCTACACGTGCACTTGATGGTTCAGCAGCATCGTTCTCGCGCGGGACTTCGTCCTCATTTTCGGGCTCGGGTGGTTCGAACATCCTATTTAGGAAGGTCGTCTCAGCATCCGTTGCTTCTATTGATCGAGTTCTTCCCTACAGCAATGGTAATGAACGTATTGGCATAAATATGAAACTTGAAGAAAGTTATAAGTATAAACAAGATTGAACTTACTGTGCTAGATCAGAAAATCTCTCTGTCCAGCACATGCCATGCAGTTGAATGGTCGCACCTCCACCGAAGAATTCGTGGCACGGCATCCAAATTTACCTTATTGGCCACATGCCCAGATAAGGAAGATATAGTCTCGTAGGCCCACACCTGTAAGTATAAGTGGTGGACGTTATTGACMAGTTCAAAGGAACGAAAACTGGAAACAAATATCTAGGCTCATACCTGGAACGCCCAAGAGAAACGGTAGAGACTGTATGATTTCCTAAACCCGCCATCCTTCTACCTCTTCGTCGGGCCACGCTTCAGACTATATATAGTCTTATCAAAGGATAGCATCCCCCCAGTCGTGGTTGCAGCACGTTTTCCAATCATCGACTATTCCCAGCAATGTATAGTCGTACTTTAGGGTCCTTTCTCTCCCCAATAGAACTAACTCTACTAAGTAAACAATAGATACCTTGACCGCGTCGAAGTCATCCTCGAACCGTGCGGCTAAATAAATATTCTCAAATTCACTCAACAGAACGTCGTTGCTATCATTAAAGTAAAGAGACCTAAGTCTGTGGGGAGATGTGTCTTTTCTAACTGGACTCCTATCATACTTAAGCCCAGAAATAATGTCAAACTCCCTCCGCCCAAATGACACCTTACTCCCAAACTTAAAACTAATGGTGTCAAGTGTACTATCCTCGATCTCCCTAAGTAGGATGTTATGTATCAATGACCCGTTAAATACGAGGTCCAAGTCAAGGAGATGACCGAATACAGTTTTCCTAAACATTCTAAGCTGTGGTGGGGTCAATTTACTCTTAATGGTTGCGGTAGTCTTTGCTAGATGCGACAGACATGTCAAGTTGGCGGAGGCATAGGATGAAGGAGAGATTTTAGGTACCATTTCCATTTTGAATTAACCTAGAGATGAGTAAATAAAGGATCCAAAGATGAATAATATGTTGCTTCCTATAAGATAATATGTTAAAAATGCACCATACATATAGATAATGAACAAGTTCTCGTGGACAAATCATACATATATAATAACCAACCATTCTACTAACCAACCTAAATAAAAAGATAATGTAAAAGCTTGTCCTGCCATTTCTCGGGTCATTCTCGGGCGAAGTCATGCATGAGAATTCATACAGTATTAAATATTCGCTCGAAAATTTTTAACACTGTATGAATTCTCGGTTGACTTACGGGTGAGATCGGACCCCGAGAATTTATCCAGAGACAAACAATTCCACAAGTTTTGAATTACTTCTCCCGAATGACCATGAGAGTTTCTTCCCATCTAATATCTAACCCTTTTCGCCCGAAGAGACCCGAGAATTCTCACAATCTTTTCACCCGAAAAGCCCCAAAATGACCTGAGAATTGTTAGATACAAATCCAAACCCACCTCGCCCGAAAGCCCCTGAGAATCACCGAGAACTTTAGATGAATACCCCACTCGAAAAAATCGAATCCCCAACCTACTTCGCCCGAAATCCACAAAGAATGGTTCAGATTATACAAAACTCACTCCAAAACGATGAAATCCACTAACACTTCGCCCGAAATCCACCAAGAACTACTAGTTCAGATGAAAATCCACTCTAAAAATAGAAGCCCTAACCCACTTCGCACGAAATCGCCCCGAGA